ATGTCAGAAAGATGACTGTGACTGCCTATGTTCCCTTCATCGATAGAAAAAGCATTGTTGAAGAACCCGGCCGTTTACGATTACATTGAATTGTTGCCAAAAACGTTTCTCGCAACTGCAGGAGTACAAAGCTGGTGACAAAAGGATGTTTTTGCGAAAGAACCTGTGCGAAGAATGATAGTAGCAGTGAGCATAAACGAAGCATATTCGGGTACTAACATGACAAATCCTTTTCATTACCTAAAGTTTGGGTTGAATGAGATCATTGTGTACAGAAACGGCCTACCCATTGCCGAAACTCCAATCTCAACAACAGACAATAAAAGAATTTATTGTAATACGCTCGAAGCTCATGATTTTGTGTTGAACACTAGTCATGGAATCAGTCTAGCTAATTATGATAATCATTATATTATGGCTTTTGATCTCACGTCTACTCAGGAGGCTTCACACAATTTTATTCACTCTGAACTGACCAATTGCACTTATTAGGTCGAAATTTTACGCAGGTCTCGGTAATAACGTCGAATTATTATTAATGGGAGAGCGTGCATCAACAGTTTATGTGCGCTCAGATAGAAAAATTACCAAAAACTCTTATGACCTAAGCTAGCCAGGGATAACCTTCAGAATTTTCAACCGTTGTAAACTTTTGAAATATATTTTTAGAGGTTTTTACCGGCAGATTTTGCATGCTCTTCAGTATTGAAAACCAATAATACCTTCATGATTATGAACGCTTCACCCTCAGATCAACCTGGAACCCACTGGTTGTTTTTGGTCAAGCTGGAGGGCAGATTTTCATCGAAGATCCTCTAGGTAAAAGATTATATGATAATCCCCTCGTGTAAAAGAATAGGCGACGTACAATTCACGAGGGAAATCAACTACTGATGAAAAAAACCAATACATTCAGCCGATTCAGTGTTATGCGGTCTTCATTGTATTTATGTCGCTCATGTTATAATTGCAAATAGATTTCCAGTAGGTTTCAAATTTAATGATCATGACTTGATAAGATTTGCTAAAATTATGTTGTTCCAAACTATTTAATGGAATTTTTTGTGAAATTGATAAATTCATTTTTTTAAAATTCATTCTTGCCAACAACAGATTTTATTTTTCTACAAGTTTGATAGAAGTGCGAAAAAACATTCGAAGTTTTAAGGCATGGCCATTTGGGTTATGGACAATAGCTAGCCCGGCGTTGCTCCTCGCTACGCTCCTCGCGAACGCCTTCCGCTGGTGTAGTAATTTTTTTTATACAAGAGAGCAAAAAAAAATATTTAAAACAATAAGTTTCTTTTCCATGATAATTTTAACAAACAGTGTTTGAATCAGTTTCCATTCAACCATACCAACTTAAAATTATGTCAATTAATCTTGAAAACTCAGCAGCCTTTTCACCATTCAAAATATTAGTAAAGCGTTCTTTTGTTACGTAAGTAATCAGGTCAGTTTGAGTTTGAACAGATTTAGTCTGCGAGCCGAAGAAAACTTGAGGCAATCGTCTGCTAACTGGAACAACACTTTTATCTAGATTGTTGATAGAGTTATAATTCACGGCTATTTTCAATTTTTCCAGCTGAGGGCCAGACAGATGATACTTAGAGCAACCCAAATTAATTATTTGAATTTAGAGAGAAGGCAAGGCACGACTAATGCTTTTGAAGTCATCTTGTTTAGTAAATCGGTAGACTCTTTTGTGAGTTCGACCAGCACATGATATTTTTTGTTGTTATCAATCGATTGATTGCAAAAATCTAATTCATTCCAATGGGAGGATACCGCAAAATTTGCGTTTGAAGCGAAGCCAGAGAAGTTAGATTTATGATTCAGGAAGATCAGTTTGTAATTTTTACGGAATTGTTTGAAGTAATCAGGGGGTTGCTCATTGCTTAGTAGTTTTAATTGCTTCAACCATTGCTTAGTAGTTTTAATTAACTAAAGAGTGAATAATGCTACAAACCCTGACATTAACCATCGTTTTCACTTTCGCATTCCTTTTCCGAGCATGACGATTTTTTAGATTTGTTTCCTTTTCCAGTCACATCGCATTTTTTTCCTTTCGTCAATCTTTCAATTTTTGAGTAATTGTCCGCCAAGGACTCGAATTCACCAGTTGACAAGGTTATTCCTTGTCGATACTTGAAAGTTCCCTCTTCGTCTTTTTTGTGCAAATTGATAGTTATATAAGTACCGGTTGGTGCGAATGTTTTTGCACCGACTCTAATCAAACGTTTTTTATTCGAAGATATATCCCGCAAATCATCGAAATAGTCAACATCCGTTTCAAGAGAAGCGCTCATTATAATTGAAAAACAATCAACTGGTTTTAAATGTGGAACGTTGAAGAATGAATGATCACAGTATACGAGACAATCTTGCGTTCCCGAAGTAAAAAAAATTATGCGACAACTTTATGAGCGCCTTAAGCCATAATGATAAAACTAAATCACGAAGGATAAAATATCTTTAACGATAAACCACATCTTAATGGGTTTTAAGTTACTTCCCCCCTTGGTATACTCGAAAAATCTTCTGGTGTTTTTTATTATGACGGTTAATTTAATGACTGCTATCAATCATGTTAATGAAACTTTAACAGCATGACAAAGAATGTCTGGCAAACAAACAAGAAAACTTGAAATTGAGTGTTTTTGCCCGTCGCATTATGATAAAGGTATCACATAAATCTAAAAAAAGATAGGTTTTCTCATGGATTCTTAACATGACTTTAGGCGTCATGGATAAAAGAAGAAATAAAATTTGATAGCCTCGCCTAAAAAATTACTAGTTTTGAACTAAATGAGCCGTGCCATCCTTTCCTGATCTCTCTCTTTTTAATAGACTTTTCATACTTATTTTCTCAATTTCACTTCGGTAACTCAGTCGTATTACAACAAAACTAGTCCTCTATAAAAAAATATCAGTGTCCGATCGAGAAAGAACAATCATCTACCAAACATACACGAAAGAATCGATTGCAGTCATCCATCATCAGAGAGAGAGAGAGAGAGAGAGAGAAAGAGAGTGTGTGTGTGTGTGTGTGTGTCTCCGTCTTGAACAAGTCGGTTCAATGAATTGGCTCCCCGAAAAAACGACGGCAATCAAAAGGAGGAACGGACTACAAAAAGTCACATATCGCTACCGAACTACCTCCATGATCATATCGATCATCTTCGACAGAATCGCAAAACTACGAGAGTTGAACTTTAACGAGAGATATCTGACATTAGAAAAGACTGAGATAAACGAAACAACATCCCTCGAGCAGTCTCCCAGAACAATTCTCTTCGCGTATGACTGCGAGTCAATCCCGTTGTATGAAAATCAGGAGGGCTGTATTCTTGATTATCCAGAGCGCGAATTGTACTGGGATCTTCCGACAGCAATGTCTCCCGAGTCATTTGTTAGGGGAGCAGTTTCAACCCCAGCTGCAGAACAATCAACTTGCTATTCGGATGCTTGGATTTCAGCGACACAGAGTGCGGAGACAATTGATCTAGTGGCCCAGATCTCATTCAAGGAACTCCTCCAAATGCAGCTTGCAATGCCCGAAAAAAAAGAAAACTACAGTTTCGACAGTTCTACTAGCTTAAACAAAAAACTTTCTTTTGTTTAGATTTTTATTCCTCGCGTTTTATATTCTTTTTTTTATTGGATTTTTAACTCGTTTCAACATGACCGTGTGTATATTATTTGTGTCTCATTTTTCATCTTTTTTGTCTCTAATATCAACTCATTTTGAGAAAAACATTTTCAAGTTTCAAGTTTTATTCGTGTTGTCCGGATAATTTAAATCAGCACTATTAAACCATCATCTTTTATCGGCAAAGCGTGTAAGATGAACACATTTAAAGGGGAATGACGTCATTACATGAGTATAGCTTGTGTTAGATTGGAAAAAAAAGAAAGTTCATACTATAACACAAGCTATACTTGTGTAATGACGTCATTCCCCTTTAAATGTGTTCATCTTACACGCTTTGCCGATAAAAGATGATGGTTTAATAGTGCTGACTTAAATTATCCGGACAACACGAATAAGACTTGAAACTTGAAAATGTTTTTCTCAAAATGAGTTGACATTAGAGAAAAAAAAGATGAAAAATGAGAGACAAATAATATACACACGGTCATGTTGAAACGAGTTAAAAATCCAATAAAAAAAAGAATATAAAACGCGAGGAATAAAAATCTAAACAAAAGAAAGTTTTTTGTTTAAGCTAGTAGAACTGTCGAAACTGTAGTTTTCTTTTTTTCGGGCGACTTAGATTGGAAAAAAAAGAAAGTTCATACTATAAGTCGCAAATATTGTTGCGATGCAATTGTTGCGATAAAATGTGTTCATTTTATAAGTGTTCATTTTGATCCCGCTATTAAGTACAGCCAATGCTAAGGATATTAACACAGACTATTATATTACAAAAATCAGTTTAGCTTCAAGACATCCTGGATCTGTATCGTAGAGGTAGGGAAGGAGACCAGCAAAATAAGAGGGTTCGCACCTGGTACGGGTCGGATGTTTTTAATGAATTTTTTCGTATACTAGTTTAAATGCGTCCGCTCTATAAATTGAGGCATGTTAGTTGGTAAATTTATTTTTTCAAATTGACTGGTACTGCGCTAATGCGTCTTAATTGGCTTGAGTCACGTAGCAATTATAAAGACTCATAATTGCCGTGCGTCACTTTTGAAATTTTGTAGAATCAAAGTTTTACTCATTCAATTTTTCCCAGTAGCATTATCGGTCATATTTTTGCTTGTGTATGCGAAGTGCAATTTCGCTTCTGTGTAATATTTTCTAAGTCTAGGTTATAGGTATGAGAATGAGACATATGGATAGATATAGAAGTTACTTGAAGCCGACTTAAGCCTAAAAAAGATACTGAAAGGATGAGATGAGAAAGTTCGGTGGTTTTAATACGAAAGAAAAAAAATTGCCAAAGATTCTAGATACTTAGAGTTCAAGCCGAGTGTTGAAGAGGTTATTTTAGATGAATTAATATACAATAGAGTTGAGCAGTTACAGAAGAAGACAATACAGCTTCAGATTGACAACGAGAGACTCAAGCAGACCAAAGACGCCTCCTTCAATTCACAAGGGTACATTCAATTCTCGTTTCTTTTCGAAATTGCGGTTAAAGTTTCGGCTAACATTTTCCAAAGAGTTCTTTCGTTTTAGTGAGCACTCAGACTCGCATCTTAGAAACGAACTTTCAGAACTGGAGAAGCGACTGTACGAGACGCAGAGAGATCTAACAACAGCTTTACGAGGAAAAGATGAAGTAAGGTGAACTCATGTCTTTTTTCTGATCACATGTTAACTGTGAATGAACAAAGTGTATTTTTCAACTTATTTTGTGACCAAGGTGTTTTAACTAATTGCTGAGTATTTGATCTGTTTAGAATAGCCAAAAGATACTTGACCTCAATGACAAAATCAGACAAAAAGATGACGCACTTGCACAACGAGATCAAAAGTTAGTTCTCCAAATGTGCTAAATGAAAGATTCTCAAAGAGTCTCGAAAATAGTATTTTAGCTGTGCCGTTTTCGAAACATAGGTTGTTACAGGATGCGTAACTTGGAAGCCGAGCTGGAATCGGCCAAAAAGACCATCAGTCAAATGAGCTCCAAAATTGAAATTCTTGAAGAACAGAAACAAGTGCAAGCAGATGAATACAGTTTATTGGCGCTTAGTTGCAGTCAGTTTGAAGAAAGACTGCTTAAAAGTGAGGAGGAGAACAGACTCATTTTGCAACAGTGTGTCAAGTTTAAGCAACAATTCGCTGATCAGTTGAACGATAAGAATGCAGAATTTATTGCGTAAGTTTTCGTATTTTTCCAACGGCGAGGTCACTTTTGCTCAAGCATATCATTACGCTGATTTTGTGTATTCTTATTTTTCCCCGTTGATTCGGCTTAAAAGGTTTCGTCTTATCATGTTTCGCCTAATTAGTCTTCTATTATGTCGTATGATCAACGAAAATTACTTCTATGAAATTTTTTTTCGTCTTTATGAATGTCTGTTTAAGTATTTAAAAACGAAGTGATTTTCACTTATGCAGGTGTTGTTTTTTTTTCAGGAAAAGGCTTCAGGTTTTTTCAGGCTCAAATTTACTTTTTCGCGGTTCGACTTTTAATTTCTTTCAAGCTCCAGTTCAATTCATTTCTTTTGTTAAAAGGAAGACATACTCAACTACCGAACAGCAAAAGTGTATAGGTCACGAAAAACGAATTTCGGACTTCTTTTTCCCTGAGGAATATAAACTTACATATTAAGCCAGTTTTCTCAAAATGATATAGTTTTCTGAAAAAAGTGCCCGTCAGCAATATTTTTTGAATTTCAACCAGCTTCAAGTTGGTATATTTTTTCTTCGAAGTTTGAAACTGTGTCCTTGTACTTTTTTCCGACCTTCAATTGGCTATTCAAGTGTTTTCGGCTTAGTTTTTTCTTCATTACTCTTGTTCCGATGCTAATCAAATATTTTTACGATTGCGATTAGGAAGCGTTATCAACTCGAAATATAGAGTTTAACAGAATCATTTGTATCTTGGTTCACAATGAATTCAAACGTCAATGCGTGTCCGGCTCTTAGCTGTGGATGAAGAATACGCCTGGGACGTCAAAGGTCGTAGGTTCGAATCTGACTGGGAATAGCTTTTTAAACTGGAAATTTCCTCACAAGAATTGTCGGCCTATAGTTTGTCAGCATATGTTTGTCGGCTTAGTTGCCTCATCGTAGAATGATTTTTCAACGCAATTTTTGCTGACCTTGCTCAAGTGTTTTAAATTATTGCAGCAAAATTTAATTTTTACTAGCTTTTTCTAAAATTGCTGTTCCTATTTTTTTCGCTTAAAAACCTTTTTCGGCTTAAATGTTTTGCGCTATATTTTATGGGCTTCGTGACCTAATTTGGGGTCATTTCAAGGGAAGCATTTTTTGCATTTTGGAATGAAGCATGCTCCATTCGGGAACGCAAAAAATGCTAAAATTCGTAGAATAGAATTTATAGATCAAATTTTTTCATGATAATTTCTAAGGGAGATTATTCAAGTTTCGTCGGCTCAGTTGCCACTTTTTGATAATTTTTAAATTGTGGATTTTTGAAAAAAATTTCAAAACTTTTTTTTGGACTTGGTGGGGCTTGCTTTTAATTTTTGCTGGCTAGCACTGCTATTTTAATGTTGTATCGCTGGTGGCGACGATTTCCGCTTCGCCTCTGTTTAAATTTTAATTTCAACTATTTTTATTCGAGTGTAGCGCAGTGAGATTGTACGATGTAACTTTTTTTTCCAATTAAAAGTGCTACTTTTGGTGGCAATTTTGAGATAGTAGGCTGCATAAGCAGTACGTTCACATGTGCTGTAAACATTTGTTCAGTAATAAGTTAACATAGTGGATACTTTTCTATTCATCAATTGAACCGAAAAAGCTATTTGTTTTTATACAACAGGTCAATAAATTACATCCCATTTTAGAAATTTTCCAACGAGATATGCTTCGCACGCTTTTGAAATGCTTAATTTATATGCAATATTGCTCAATGAATTCTAATTCGTTACATGCGAAGTTAGTTTGGTTGCCTTTAGTTTATTACGGGGACCGATCGTTTAGCAGACCAACCTTTTTGCATAAAAAGTGAAAAATGAGTCTTTTAGCAGACCAACGTAATGAAGTGATGCATGATTGATTGATACACTGAAAAATTCGCTCAGTGTTGGGCCGAATATCCCCAATTAAGACAATTACCTCACGATTTGTCAACCAAACTACAACTTCCATGACACCTTAGTCTAAACTAGCGGCAGAACAAAGATTTACGCGCACAATAACTCCGCCGAATGGAAGCGCAGCGGAGTAAGCGGTCGTTTGTCGCCAAGCCAGCGTTTGAAGTTAGCGTTCGGACTTGCTAATTGTTCTGAGTTTGCTAAAAAGATTGGTCTGCTAAAAAGCCAGTATTCTAAAACTCCTAGCATTGTTTATTACATCCGAATAATTATATGCAAATTGATTTTTGTGCATTTTAAAGCCCGCCTTTCTTTGCCGTTTTCTCTGTCGTGTTTGGGAAGTAAATTTTTCTAAGTTTCTGACGGTGATTTTGTCCGAAGTTCATAGAAACTGGTTCGTTTTTCCACTTGACTCAAATAAAAGTTCTCAGACAAGAGACTCTTGCGAAAAATAACTAATTTTTATTCTATCAACATAATTTAAACATGGATTCAAGCGAATTGGAACAGTTTCTTTCCGAAAGTATGCATCGGGATAGTTACCATCGGTTGAAAAAGAAGTAAGTCTAACAACCATCTGCGCTGACATCTGGAAGTAAGTCTAACAAACGTCAAGGCTGTATTCAGTGCGGATTGTTATAAAAAAGCGTTTCGATAGAAAGTGAGTCGTGTCTCCTTTTTTGCGGCAATAAGATCTTGAAAGTAATGTAAGACCAAGCGCTTGAAACCATATATGCCATTTGATGCTTGAACGGGCCATTAAAATGTTGTTAGGCAAATAATTTATTTAAAGGTCCTGTACACGTGTACAACTCGATCTTTAAAAACGAAACCAGCTCAAATTAAATGTTTTGGTTACAGGGGCTGTTTTTAATTAATTTTTTATGCTTTGATTTAGAGGCCAGGCTGCGGCGAGAGACAAAAAAGTATCTGACAATGTGAGAGAAATGGGCGAAAAACTCAAACAGTTGGATACGTAAGTTAAGCTCTACCTGATTCATGAACTACTAATTAAGACAACCTTAAAAAGAGTTTGAAAGTTAGATTTTATTACACTTGCGAAAGCAAATGTTTTGTAATCGGGAACTAGATATTTTTTTCCTGTAAACAACTTTTACAAATTTTCATCTTGCTGTATTTCTGATCTTAACTTCCAAGTTCCTTCGCACTTGGCCTGGAGGTAACTCAGTCGCCTTTGCAACCTAAGGTCTGGGATTCCAATAACGGCTGGACCTTTTTTTTCAATAAGCATGCAAATGAATTTTTTTTTAGTAAAACTTGATTTGTCGGGTTTTCGTTATCTGATCAAGTTCTGTCGGCTAAGTTGCCATATCACGGATATTCTTGTGCTGAAAGCAAGTATCATGGTAGTTGCAAGATGTGTTCATTGTAGTTTTAAGGGGATTTGAAACTTTTCAATTAAATCATATTTTTCCGGCTCAACTGGTGTCTTCTGTTTCCGCTTCGTAAATTTTCTTCCGTTGCTAATTTGAAATTCAATTTTTTTTGCCTGGCAAGTTTGCCTAGAAAGCCTGTTTTGATAAACAGGTATTAAAAAAATGTATGAGATAGTATTTTTTGTTGTTATTTTTTCTTTTGACACTCTTTGGAGGACACTTTTTTTACCTTTTGCAAAAGTGTTAGTTTTTCCCGTAGGCTCTTTTTACTTTACATCTCTGTCTGCAGCCTTCAAAAAAGTCTGCGGAGGGAAATTTTTGACCCATGTTTTTGATTTTTCTTTTCTCAAAAATCACCTCGCAAATCTGAAAATCTGGTTTCAATGAATAGAACGGATTTGAAAAGCTCCCCAGCATAAGCAGCTACGCTCAATTTTTTATTTGCACAAATTTATATCCCTTGAAATAGTAAATTTTTTGACCGTTTTTTAAATCTTTTTGGCTTTTCTCGGAAACTAGGCTCCCAAATAAGATTTTGTGGGTTCAATAGAGATAGCGGGCAGTGAGAAGCTCCCCTGCTTTAGTGGCCTGGCCACTCAGCCACTCACTTTTTTTAACACAAAAAGTTGTTTCAAATCCGCTTATGCTGGGGAGCTTTTCAATCCGTTCTATTCATTGAAACCAAATTTCCAGATGCACTCGAAAAAGTTATGCCCTGAGATGTTGGGGTCAATTTGATGAAGTGGTAAGTGCTGTTGTATATGCGACTACGCCCAATTGTTTTGACACAAAAAGTTATGATTTTTTTGAATGTTTTGTTTTTCTCGAGAACTACCCTCCGAAATCTGAGTTCTTGAGTTCAATCTAATTTGCAGGTTGCGTGAATCTCTTCTGCATAACCGGCTACTCCCTAAAAAGCTATGACTTTGGAAGTGTCAAATTTTTGATTCGTTGAACTTTCTTGCTAACTATACTGCCAAAACTGATATCGTAGGGTTAATAGATAAAACACCTTGTTGAACGACTTTCTTATAAATGGCTGCGCCAAATTTTTTTAAAGAAAAAATTTATGGCCTTAAACAACTCAAAAGTTATGAAACGTGTACCGTTTTTTGGAAACTTTTAATTTTTCTTGAAATTTAACGTGATACTTGTCAGGTTAAGTGTTCAATCGAGAAACGCGCTTTTTAAATCTGCTCTTTAGAGGTGATGGCCTGCTTTTTGCAGAAAAAAGTTATTGATTTCAGAAAGTCAAGTTTTTGAACTTTTGCAGTTTTTTTGAACTTTCTGAAAAACTACGATATCAAATCTGCGATGGAAAGTTAAAGTCAAAGAACCGGTTGCGAGCATTTTTCCTATAGTAGTGGCGTCTCCTTATTTTTTGTTATAAAAATGTTGTGCTGGGGAAATTCCATTATCTCAAAAGTTTTCGCTCTTTCACCTATTTTAGTAGAGAAACAACCAAAATTTTCAGCAAGTGCAATTTTTGGAATCGCACATTTTGTACCGCATCAGTATAGCAAGCTCAAACAGTATCACACACGTTCCTCCAACTTTAGCCGGGCCCCATAGTTGTTTTTAATCGAAACGTACATAAATGTTGATTCACCTAGTTTTTTTTTCATTTCAAACTTTTTTTAAATGTTTATTGTATCGCAAGTGGTGCGAAGCTCAGCTTCGCCTCTGTGTGGTGAAAATGGAAATAGCCTACATTGATTGATTCTCTAAATTTCCGGAAACTTTCAGGGACAAAGAGGCAATTTTCACGTAAACGAATTCTCATAAATGGCATCAAGTATCCCAAATTTTTACTCACCGGCTCATTCAAACTTTTAAGAGGTCCATGTGAAGATGTTCCTCGTTTCCTTCTATTTTTTATATTAGATTCATTTGATTATGACTAGAAATCATTTTGCAAGTTTTTGACGTCTGGCCTGGCGTTGTCGCTTGTAAAATATTAGGCATGATTTTCTTCTCATTTTATTTGCAAAATGTGGACACGAGCATGAACCGTTGTTAAGAGTCGATGAACGTGGTTTTTTTGTTTTTGATTTAAAAGTTCAGTGCAGCAAAAATGTAAAGGTCGCGAAAAACGTGTCGACTTCTAATTTCGAAAACGCAATTTAATTTTCAGATTTCCCAGCTAAGTGAAAGTTATACCTATTGATCTAGTTTTCTCTAAGTGGGGTAATTTAATTGAAAAAGAGTCAAACATAAATTGGAAAGAGCTTTCAGGCTAATTATTATTTTCTTGGAGTTTCGAAGTTTGAGACTTTTTCAAAAAAAAACATCATTGGTTTTTCTGTTTTCTAGCGTTTATTGACTATTTCCTAACTGTATGTTGGCTATGTTGGATTAAGTGTCAATGAACGTAGTGAAGACACTTATATAAGTCGCAATAATTGTTTTCAGGAAAAATTTGTTGACACCCAACTTTGATTTTTCGCGATTTCATTTCAAATTCATTTGCTAAAAGGTCGGCAAACTGCGCTATCCAATTATAAAGGCGGAAATGGATTTCAGAAGTGGATTTTCTCAAGCGGAATAAAGAATTTACCCATTGATACACTATTCTTATATTGGGATAATTTTGATGATTTTCAAATTTACAGAAATCAATTACAAATACTAAAGCAAAGAAGTTCAATTTCAATCTGAAGCACTGCACGGAACAAATAAAATTTTCTGTTATTTACTGTTTCCTTGCGTTCATCGGCATTTTTCAACTGTCTGGTGGTTATGTTTGAAGTATTCGTCGAAGTGGTTCACCTAACGTTCTCAGTTGTTTTGCTGCTTCTGAATCTGTATATCATGTTCAAATTCTTAAATGCTCTGCTGTCAAATCCATTAGTAAAATTGGTTACGATTAAACTTATCATCTTTTTCTGAGATAATGAATAACACTTTTGATTGCTTTCAGCACCAAGTACGATGTGACCAATTTGATCCTGGCCACTGACATCCCAGAAAACCCTAGAAACACACTAGTAAGTATATATCGCCCGCGTAACAAGTAATAATTAAACTCCTGTCTGTCTCATAATAACTCCTGTATAATTTGAAACTGAAAGCATAAGCGTGGTCCAGAAATATGATGCGTAGCTTCTTAGATGATCCGGAGTCTAAAAGCAACTGTCTTTAAGTTTTGACCCCGACAGACAAGTTTTTGAGTTATATGGTGCAATGGGTAGTTTGAGTATGAAAACTAGATCTAGATAAGTCCTTGTCTTCGCACAAGCAATCGTTTGTGTGAGTAAAACGACTTCATTTTTCTAAACGTACTCGCATTAATAAGTGCTCAATTTCAGTATCCGTGTACTAACTGCGCTAAGCATTGGCGTTCCCTCCCCTGAACTCTGGTAGCCAAATTTTCTCAAAAGGTCCACATTTGCTACAATTTTACGAATCAATTTCTTATTTAGTTTTAAAAGCGTTTTCGGCGCCACTGTAAATTGAACTTGCTGAAATAGCGCACTAGTTAGATTCCAGTCGGGACCTGTTTTTTGTGGAAACTGAAAATTTAATAGACTTTCACGTCTGCCAGTTTTTGTCGGCTTAGGTCCCGAAGAAAGATTCAATTTCTTTTTAACATTTTGAAAGCTCTTTGTAAAGTTTCTAATGGTGCAGGTAATTTTGTTCCAGGAAGAACGATTTTTTTAAGTTTTTTTTGTTCAATTTTTGCTTTTCCTTTCATTTGTTGCTGGTCATAATCATTCATTTTGTATCGCATGTGTTTGTTTGTTTTATTAAGAGTAATAAACGTAGTGAAGACTCATGTAGTTTTTAATGATTTTTTTGTCTTTAAATTTGTTCACGCTCAATTTTGATTTTTCGCAGTTTGACTTGTGATTTCTTTTAATGTTCAGTGCATTTCTGTTGTTAGAAGGAAAGCAAACGTCACTATCGAACAGCAAAAGAGTAAAGGTCACGAAAAGCATGATCGACTTCTAATTTCAAAAATGGAAATTAATTATCAGAATTTCCAGCGAAAAAAAGTTTTACCTATTGATCCAGTTTTCTCAAATTGTTGTTCGAAATTCAAAGTTGAAGATTTTTGAAAAAACGAGTTCATTACTTTTTTTCAACTGTCAGTTGGCTATGTTTGCATTTTGAAGCTCTCTCTTGCCAATTTTGTCTGTGTTTGCTAAGTGCGGTTTTGACTGTGTGCCAAATTTCTAAGCTATTAGGCGATGTCATTAAAAGATTCAGGCTTTCGGATGGATTTGTCGAGGGGTTGGGGAGCCGTTGTAATCTCAGATTTGCAGATTTCATGAGCATCTTTATAGTATATTTGTATATTACTTTGAGATCATAGAGAGGAAGATAAGGATGTCAGTTTGTGCTCGCTCGCGTTGTTTGTTCATTTTGAAATAATTTCTACATACTTGCCAGTATATGAAACTCATTCGGTAAAATGTTTGTCTGAGGAGCATTTGGGAATGGTCCCATATAAAAACTACAATTTTAATTAACTTGTTCATTATGAAAGCAAAGATGTTGTGAAGTGATGTTTATTGGCATCTCTTGTCAGGTAATTGGGACGGATCACGCTCTGTAATTGGTACGGATCACGCTCTGAAAATTGCGCTCAATTTTGAAATTTTGCGGTTTGACTTGTGATGTTTTTTAAAGTTCAGTGCCTTTCAATTAATGAAAGGAAGGAAAACTCCACTATCGAACAGCAAAAGTGTAAGGGTCACGGAAAACGTGATCCGCTTCTAATTTCGAAAATGGAAATTAATTATCAGATATCCCAGCGAAATAAAAGTTTTACTATTGATCCAGTTTTCTTAAATTGGGTTAATTTCTTTTAAAGTTCAGTGCATTTCTGTTGTTAGAAGGAAGGCAAACTCCACTATGGAGCAGCAAAAGTGTAAAGGTCACGAAAAACGTGATTGACTTCTACTTTCGAAAATGAAAATTAATTTTATCAGATTTCCCAGCGAAAAAAAGTTGTACCTATTGACCCAGTTTTCTCAAATTGGGTTAATTTTAACAAAAAATTGTCCATAATAAATTGTTCTACATATTTAAAGAGCTTTTAGGCCATCTATTTTTTTCTTCGAAAATAAAATGTTAAAGATTTTTGAAAAAACAAGTTCGTTTTTTTTCTAGTTTTCTTGCGTTCATTACTCTTTTCCAATTGTCAGTTGGCTATGTTTTTTTTTGTTGTAGAAAAGTCGATGTAGACATCGGAAAAATCCGTTTTATGAATTTTTTTGTAAAAATTTCATCACTATTCTCAAAAACTACTATCTAAATCTGATATTAAGTACTCAAGTGAAAAGAAGGGGTACAAACCTTCCCTGAATAAGAAGCTAGTCCCATGCTTTAGTAGAGAAAAGTTTATGGATTTAGGAAAACTCAAATTTTTAATTTTTGATCGGTTTTTGAATCTTTCTCAGTTTTGTCGAAAACTACCCAGCCAAATCTTAGATAACTAATTTGAAATTGAAATTGCGAGTAGCAGTTTTCTTGCCTAAATAAGCGGCTAAACACCTACTTCAGCAGAGAATCACTAGGGTTTCGCTTAGCGTCTTTTTTTTAAACTAAAATTTACGCATTTCGATGGCAGTAAAACATATTATTAAAATTATTAAAATCGGTGAATCAAGCATGGTTACACGTCAGTATTTAGACAACCGCGTATTCAGACTGGTCAGTATTTAGACAAAGAAGAAATTAATAAATAATTATTATTTATTTTGGATTATTTATGTCTTTTCTCGATTCTGATTGGTTCATACAGTATTTGTCTAAATACTGACGAGTATGAATACGCGGCTGTCTAAATACTGGCTGCACTCCATCTAGCATTAACTGGGCCACTTATTATTAACTGGGCCGTGCAATATGGTTTGAATTCTATTTAGCTCTGTTTTCCGATTCATTTCAGAAGTGGATTTCAATTCACGCTCTCCTGGTTTTGGTGCTGCTTTTTACCGTTTTTTCTTTAAGGTGCAATTGCGTATTAAGAGTGGCTGAAGGTAGTTCAGCCTCTTTTGTAGGTTGCGATGATTTTTTTAAAGTTTTTTTTGTTGAAAAAGTCCTAAAATTTGTTCAGGCGCGTCAGACTAAAAATCGAGAATTGTTTTGCTTCTTTAAGAAGCAAAGGGTTAACGAGCCGCAAATTTTAGGCCCAGCTGTAGCAGAATGTACCGGAATGCCGGAAATTTTATCGAATCGGGCCGTCTCTAAGACCGAAATCATTGTAGTTACATTTAATACGTTTATGAAATTCATCTTCGGAGGAAGATTATTCCAAAACTTTTAAGTTCTGCCTATCTGAAGTTTTTGTTACTTTGAGGTAGGCTTGGCCATTTTTTCTCGGGTATATTTCTTAAGCGTAGAATTTTTTCGGGTTTTCCGCAAGTTTCAAGTAATGTCTTTTATGATTATTTTGGTGGAAATTGGGGAAATTTTAATTGAAACAGTAAATATCAGATTTCCCAGCGAATGAAAATTTTCACCTATTGACCCAGTTTTCTCAAACTGGGTTAGTTTTATAAAAAAAAAGTACTAAATTTTGTACAATTTTAATGCATATGGCTCAAATTTGAAAAGATATTCGAATTGATAATGCATATGGCTCAAATTTGAAAAGATATTCGAATTGATATTTTTTTTGCAAAGTTATTACACCCGCCAGCTTCAGCATTCATAGTGTTATGGTACTACTATTCTTTTTTGCCAAACCTCAATATATCTCGCCTTGTTTTTGGAATTGGATAATTTAAACGTTCTTTGTTTTCACGTTTTTCATTTTCATATATGCAAAGTTGTGTCGACGTCTTCATTTTCGTATTCTCCAAGTTAATACATGCAAAATCGTGTCTATTTGTATTTGGTGCCATTTATCCTACATCGCATTGTGAATTTTACGAGCATATGTAGCTGCTTTATTTGTGCCAATGTTAAGAAATTGTCAAGGGTCCGTGGCTACGTTTTTTAAAGGCTTATTTGTGTCCTATTTTTCTTTGTAGTGCTGCTTTTTTGTCGGCTTCTGGCTAGTGTTTGCGAAAGCGCAGCTTTGCCTCTGTGTAGTGATTTGACTTTGGTACTCTTTTGGCGGTTCCATGGCGTTTTACCAGATTCCAATGTGCTTTATGCCATTCCACCGTACGTCATACCATTTTGCCCACCGCAAGTTTAACCCATATATAGAGCAATTAAAACTTACCCCATTACTTTGAAAAATTTAAGAAAAAATGAGTTTTATGTTCAGCTCGTGATTTCTTTCATTTAAGAGCTCGGCAAACGTCATAAATCTTGCGGTTCAAGGCTGAGTTTCGATTGAGGGCTTGAAACTGAAATCGCTACCGTTCATCTGTGCTGTAGAGATTTGGGGTCTTATGCACAAAACGGCCCAAAATCAATTTTTTTACATCGTAAGCTGGAAATTATGCGATCAAATTTGACTGGGTAATTTTAGCCAATCAAATTCAAGTTACACGGTCAGGCATTCCGATTAACTTTTCTAGCAGATAAAAATATTAGCCGAAATTGCCGAAAAGGTGGAACTTTGAGTCAAATTGTCAAATTAATTTTGAGTCACTTGTGAAACCTTGCCCAGACAAGCAAAATACAGTACAATTTTCTTTATCATTTCGGCTAATAATTTTATCTGCTTGAAATTTCAATTGAAATGGCAGAAAATGTCGATGAAACTAGATTGGTTAATTAGCCAATCAAATTCATCCACAATAATTTCAGTTCAAGACATGTAGAAATAATGAAATTGGGCCGTTTAGTGCATAAGACCCGAGATTTGGGCCGAGAATGCGTTGAGCGCTGCTCTTTCGCATTCGGATAGATTGCATTGTGGCTCCGCCTTTTGAAATAGCTCTAACAGACTGTTCCATAAAAATTTATAATTGTGATTACCTTCCTTAGGGAGCAGAGAATTGATGTGTGGGTAAAAGCCTGCTATCTACGATTTTTATGCAGTGGATGAAACTGCATCGGACAAATTTGAAGGTTTCCTTGCAAAGCCATAGGTCTGTGTTCAGTTATATTACTTTAACATTGTCGTGGTCGCCATAAATAAAGACTCTCTCAGTATATTCAATCCCGCTATCGAATAGACGAAAATATTTGTACAGTTTAGGCAATTCGAAGTGCTTGTCGAATATTGGTGTAGCTAAGGGCTTTTCAACCGTTTTCTGCCATTAGAACACCCTGTGAGAACTTACATCATTCGTTGCAAGTGTTTTTTGCTTTCGATGCGTTAATCCACATATAATATCCGCCTATTGTGATTAAGTTAGCAATAAATTAAATGATAAATTGATTAGTTTTTATGTTTCTTTTGTTTTCAGTTACTGATATTGGCGATTAAAACATGCTAATTGTGTTAAATGCTATTTTTTAAGCAAAATTGCTCGGATTACGAAGCGAGGCAAATTATAAGTCTACATGGTAGAACTCAAATTGAATTAACACTTCCAAACCTGTTCCGTGCGATGAACGATAAAAGCTAGTTGTGGAATAATTTGGCATGTTGCAATTGCTTAGAGAAAAATAGGGTAAAGCGGTATAGAGTAAAATGGCATGGGGTAGGATGGAATTGGGTAAATTGTTCTACCAATTTGATGACTATAAATCGAAATGGAATAAGTGATGCGCGATATATTTTGTTCTATATGCACAATATACTTCAAACAAAAGTGAGGCAAGCAGTTTGGTCTTTTTTATGCGTTTCAACGAGCAAAATATATCACGTGGTGCTTTATATAGCCTGTGGGGGAATAAATTGTAGAATAAAAATTTTAAAAAATTCTCTCGTTTTCTCTTTTTGACGGGATTTTTGCCAATACTCCACCCCCCCCCCCCCTCACACGAACAAAATATATCTTTTTGACTGGCCATTTTGACGGGATTTTTTGCCCCCTTAGCCCCCCCCCCCCGCCCCACTCACGCGAGCATCAATTTTTTTTGTATCATCAAAAAGCTGTTTATTTCCTGAGCTCGAAATTAGAAAGATATTTTACATGTGATCATTTTTCGAGATATGAAGTATTATAAAGGGTAAATTTTATAATTTGTGATAATTATACCTCGTGCTGCGCTATACGCGTGAGCGGCGGTTTGATCAGGCTCAGAAGTTGTTCCATAATGAATTGAGGCCTGCCAGTGGTTCTAATTAGGAGTGCAGCCAGTATTTAGACAGCCGCGTATTCATACTCGTCAGTATTTAGACAAATACTGTATGAACCAATCAGAATCGAGAAAAGACATAAATAATCCAAAATAAATCATAATTATTTATTAATTTCTTCTTTGTCTCGATTCTGATTGGTTGAAACAGTATTTGTCTAAATACTGACCAGTCTGAATACGCGGTTGTCTAAATACTGACATGTAACCTTCTAATTATTACATTAATGTAAGCTAAATGGCTCTTTTTCCTAAACGCCCCCCCCCCTCCCACCACCTCACATGAGCATCAATTGTTAATCAGTGGTTAATAATGAAGCTCAAATAAGTTTTTCATGGCCTAATTACTCCTAAGGATGTAATTACTCATGTAAGGATTTCACCACCTCACATGAGCATCAATTGTTAATCAGTGGTTAATAATGAATCTCAAATAAGTTTTTCATGGCCTAAGGATGTGAACAAATTTCTTACATGTAAATATTTGCAGGTGAGAGGGAAAAGGGACTTTTTACTATAAATAGCGTTTGGGGGATGATTTCCTAAAAAATTTCTGATTTTGAATAGTTTGACCTTGCTGTGCAGCTCTTTTGTTTATATTATATTGTGAAAATGCTGTAGTGACGAGCTGTGTTTTAGGAAGCACACATTGATCGAGTAATGTATTGATTCTTGTTTCAATGGTGTCCTGCAGTATAACTTCATTTAATGGGATTCCCGAAACTTCCGTGTCTTTAAACTCTAGTTGTTTGCTGTTTATTTCGCTTCTAATTTAATACCATCCGTCCAGTGGCGTGTGTACATATTTTTCTAGTGGGCGGTTTTGTTTGCCGGCCTTCTTTTCTTTTTTTTCATGTCGATCAATTTGATTTCCCGAGCTCTCCGAAAATACTATAAGCACGCAATTTAGTCAAAAATTTTTCTGCGCCGTTGGCTAATTTTTCAAAAAAAATTAGGCCAAAAACTGCGTTTTGGGCCTTTTTTTGGAAAATTTTGACCTTAAAATTGCGTTTTTCTGGCGCACTCTCCCCGCAAAAAAAATTAGTTATATTGGCGCCTTTTGAAATATTTTGAGGTTCGTCAGCCAAAAATGGAATCGTAAAATTAAACCAAAGGGGGCCCCTTTGGAAAAACATGGCAACTAGAATTGAAGGGGGCGGTCGCCCCCCCCCTTCGGGCACGCTACTGCATGCATCAGTTTTCTTGGTCCTTCAAAGCCTGGCAACGAAAAGAAATGGAGGTATAACTGACTTGAAAGACATGGAGTTGACTTCCACTGAGTTAATTTGAATGAAAATAAAACTAGGAATACTATATTTTTTTCTCAGCCTTCGACAGAAAGGGGTTGTAGCGACTTGCATGCGTGACGCTTAGCTCGCGCAATTAAAGTAATTACTCACTTAGTTTAAGTGAGTATGTATCAGTTTAAGTTACTTGCAAATGTGAGTAAACAAACTCGGTTCTAATTAGGCTAATAGCCACATGCTAAACGGTACACATGCTAGTAGGCCGGTCAACTGATAGAAATAACTTACGATGAATAAATCAATTTTTGATTCTAAGATTTGTTTAGTGTTAATGCAAGAATTACACGATAACTTATTCAGGATTTTTCCGGGAAGTCTAAAAATTAGTTCACTTGAAATCATATAAATAGCAGGTAAATTGCGCTCCCCTTTTACGAATGTGCAAATGGCGTGAAACATTAATTTTTAGTTTCAAAAGTGGGCTCCCAGATCATAGGAACAAAAAAACTTTTTTTTCCAATTTTCTATTGACTACGTTGATCATTTTCAAACTAACATAAAATGGTTTCTTTTATAACCTCGTAAATATCGATGGAAACAATTTATTAACTCAGCTCGACCTGTTAAGTGCTCTGTTACACAAAAATCTAACCACTCTATAGTCAATTAACAATTCTATTTAACCTTAAATGTTTGTCGAGTTTTTCTTTAGGAAACCTTTGGTTACCATTCCCGTTGACGATACTCTTTGCGCAGTTTGTCGCATGGGAAATTATGTAACGGAAGCATAGCAATAATCAAGAACCTGAGAGTACGAGACGACGTTTTTCTGATCAACTGAGCTACCTCATTCCATAATATTGACTAATTAGGAGCAGCGTATTGTCATCGCTTTTTAAAACCACTTTTCAGTATAGCTGATTTTTTTTAAAACCGCTTTTCGCTGTTTCGCTTATCTAAATGTACCGCTTATTAGCTCAATGGTTTTCGCAAATTTTACTGTGGAAAGTTTCTTCATAATTAAGAAGCCTGAAAGAAATTTTTTTATGATTTACGAACAACGCTGCGCAATTTATATCCTGATTTTTTACGCAGACAACTTGAGCGATGGAAAATAGCGTTCCATAAAAAATTTAAAAAAATTAACTGCTTTCGTTTTCGGTGAACATTTGGGGATTTGAAGATTTATACCGCTTTTTCGTTTTTGTTATTGCCGTGGAAAATTCGCAATCGCTTTCGCTTATAATCCTTGATCGGCCGCTTTTGTTTCAGCTTTCGCGTTAAGCGGGACAATACTCTGATTAAGAGTCGATGAAGGCAGTGAAGACTCTTATATAGGTCGCGATGATTTTTTCTCGTTTTTTTTCTAGGAAAAAATTTTAAAGTTAGTTCACGCTCAGTTGTGATTTTTCGCGGTTTGACTTGTGATTTCTTTTCAAGTCCACTGCATTTCCTTTCTTAAAAAGTAAGCAAATTCCACTATCGAACAGCAAAATTGTAAAGGTCACGAAAATCAGTAAGTGTAGTAAGACGGTAAGCGAGTAATCAGTAAGCGAAATAAAATATTGATCCAGTTTTCTCAAATTGAGTTAATTTATCAAAAAAATGTCAATCATAAAATGTTCTTTAATTTCAAAGAGCTTTTAGGTCATTTTTTAAACTCCGAATTCCGAAACTTGAAGTTTTTAGCTTACGTTTGTTCAGCAAGAACCTGCAACATCGCTTCTGTCTCGTGCGAGCTCTCTTCGAACCTGTCCAGCTCAATAGCAATATGCTGCTAATATAGCTGCAAACCCTTGAACCTAACATGGAAGAGATTAAACCATGTCGAGGGGGGGGGGGGGCATTTATTCAGTTTGGATTGTTTCGTTAATCACTTGGAAAAGTGATACAGCAACTGATAGTTTTATTTAGGAAGCACACACTGATGAGGTGACATGTGTGCGGTTCCTCAACAACAACAGCTTCATCTCGGCCGGAGTTGACCGATTTGTCAAGATATGGGACTGCACTTCAGGTTACCTCCTCTCACATTAAAATTACTCGTCTGCCAATGAATGGTTGAATTTGTCTGAGATTATGATCATTTTATAAGCGTTCTCTAAAGAATTTTGCCCAAATTGATCGTTTTTTGGTGTAAATTTTTGGGCCCAAAATTTGCAAAAGAAAATGCACCATATAAATTTTGTTAAAATTTTAAGCAAGATGGGTCTTCATCAATTTTTGTCTAAAGTTTGAGAAAAACGCGTTTTAAATTCGCGTCTTATTCAATTTGTCTCGATAATTTAAATCTGCACTGTATTATGTTAGCAAATGTTTTGCGAAGATTCATTTAGGATCAGCTGCAAACAGCTATGAAAAAAAACGTCTATAAATCTCCAGTTTCGTTTAAATATGTTCAATAGCGCAATAACTTGGAATACTGATACTAGAAGCAGTTCATCTAACTGCTTGCTTGATCGGAATAATTATGCGTATTGTATTTTGTGTTAATGATTGTGTACAAAATTTGAATCTTCCATCGCGTTTTTCTTTATTGTTTAAAATCTCCAAAAATCAGTATAAGAGAATATATTTTTGCTTGATAGCCAAAAAAATTTGCTGAAAAATAAATTTCAACATTTCGCTCAAAGTTTTGGGAGTTTTACATTTCTAGAACTTATGAGCTGTGTAAAAGGCTCCTTCTGATATTATTATCTCATCATTTATTTCGGTAGTTCTAGCGTAATTCTCAATGAAATGAAAAAAGGTCAAATGGCCCATTGTTGGGGTTCCGAACTTCGGGTAGCCTCACTTTTGAACCGTGATGACTATCAACTGCGCATTGAACTGATTTTTTCATAGAAATTGAATGAGTGTAGAATGGGTTATTTCTTTTCACTCGGAATTTTTTTTTCGTCAATGAAAGGTCAGATTTCCAGAAGAAGCCTTAGCTTGCGATGAATAGATAGTGTCTCTTATTAAGAGAAATGAACGTAGTGAGGACTCTTATAGGTTTTGCTGATTTTTTTTTTCAGGAAAAAGTTAAAATTTGTCCAAGCTCAATTTTGATTTTTTCGCGGTTTGAATTGTGATTTCTTTTTAAGTTCAGTGCGTTTCCGTTGTTAAAAGGAAGGTAAACTTCACTATTGAACAGCAAAAACTTAAAAGCCACGAAAAAAGTGTTTGACTTGTAATTTCGAAAATGGAAATTAATTATCAGATTTCCCAGCGAATTTAAAGTTTTACTGTTTGATCCAGCTTTCTCAAATTGGGTTATTTCTAACAAAAACGTGTCCATCATAAGTTGTTCCATAATTTCAAAGAGCTTTAGGGCCATCTATTTTGTTTCTTCGAAATTCAAAAGTTGAAGATTTTTGAAAAAAAAAAGAAAACAAGTCAGTTTTTGTTTCAGTTTCTTTGCGTTGATTTTTCTTTTCCAACTGTCAGTTGGCTATATTTATTGATGAAAATAACTTATCTGGTTTACGGTTCTTTAATTTTTTTTCTGCAAAGGGTAACTCTACGGGTTTTTTGTATATGTGCTAAGGGTAAGTAGATTTTGTAGTGATGTTCATATAAGTCGACTGATTCTTGAACTTGGATTTTGATTTTCTCTTGTTTGTCTCAATGTTTTTAAGCTCCCGTGATCTTTCTTAGTCTCACTTTTGAATAGTGATGACTATCAACTGCTTATTTAATTGATGATTTTTTTTGAAATTTAGTGTTCAAAATTGTTTGTTTCGTTTCAATCCTTGAATAATTTTTTTGAATGAAAGGCTAATTAGAAGAAAATTTTCGTCGCACTTTTGTGCAAATGACACTTTGATTCTTTTTACATGATCATCATTTAAAATGTTTGATCTTTGAACTTCTGTACATTTTTCCTGGCTTGAATGGAACGATGTTGAGTTAGGTTGTTGTTCAATAGCCTCAATTTTGAATTTTGATTACTATCAACCGTCCATTTACCTGATTTTCTTCTTGGAAAATCAATGAGTGTAGAAATAGATCTTTCTTCAATGTAATGTCGGGTTTTCTGAAAAAACCTTTACTTTTGATTAATGAATGGAGTCATTAATTAAAGTAACAATCTTGCACGCGTTTCTTTTGTATATGTGCAAAGAGTAAGTAGATTTCGTAGTGATATTCATATAAACTGTTTGATTCCTGAATTTTGATTTAACTTTTCTCCTGCTTATTCAACATTTGAAGCTCACGTGAGGTTTCTTAGGTTCACTGATGAATCGTGATGACTATCAACTGCCCTTTCAACTGTTGATTTTTTAAATTTAATTTTCAGTTTTGTTTCGTTTAAATTAATGAATAATTCTTTGATTGAAAGTCTGATTAGTAGAAGGGTAATCTCCTCGCAATTTAGTGCAAAGGACATCTCGATTTTGTATATGATCTTCATTTAAACTGTTTGATCCTTGAATCTGTGTACATTTTTCTGGTTGAATCAACGATGTTAAGCTGGCGTGATGTTCCATAGCCTCACTTTTGATCCTTGGGGGCTATCAACTGACTATTCAACTTATTTTTCTTGGAAATGAAATGAGTGTAGACTGTTTTTTTTTTCGGTCGTAGGGGATTTTTCAATCAAATATTGATTTCCAGAAAAACTTCAACCTGCGATGAATGGCTAGAGTCACTGAACCTTGATGAAATCAACTAGTCTGACTTGCCGTTTATTTGTTTTTGTGAAGAGGGTAAGTAGATTTCCTAAGGATATTTATTTAGACTGTCTGATTCCTGATTTTAGCTATTACTTTTCTCTTGCCTGTATCAGCGTTTTAAAGCTCTCCTGGTGTTTCTTAGCCTCATCTTTGAATCTTGATGACTGTCAACTGCTCATTCACCTGATGATTTTTTTGAGAATTGAGTGTTCCGTTTTTTTCGTCTAGTTCCAACTCAAATAATATTTTTTTCGGATGAAAGTTAATAAGTCGTAGAAATTTTCCTCGCATTCACAATTCTTTTTTGTACACGATCTACCTTTAAATTGCTTGCTAATTGAAGTTCTGGCCATTTTTCCAGGTTTGAATCAATGATGTTAAGTTGGCGTGATGTTGCATTGCCTCACTTTTGAACCTTGTAGAATGTGTTACTTTTTATTTCTGACGGAATGGTTTCCTTCTCAATGGAAGGTCGGGTTTCCTGAAAAACCTTGTGATGAAGGACTAGAGTCTTTGAACATTGATGATGTAAAGTAATTAATCTGACTTGCTGTTCCTTTGTTTTTTGTGCAAAGGGTAACTAGATTTTGTAGCCATCTTCATAAGAGTTGTCTGATTCTTGATCTTAGATCCTGATGTTACTTTTCTCCTGCTTCTCTCAGCGTTTTTAAGCTCACATTATGTTTCTTAGCCTCAATTTTAGTCGTGATGACTGACAACTGACCATTCAACTGATGATTTTCTTGATGTGTAGTGTTCAGTATTGTTGTTTCGTTTCAATTCTTGAATAGTTTTTTTTTAATGAAATTCTAATAAGAAGAAAAATTTCGTCGCAATTTTGTGCAAAGGACTTTTTGGTTTTTTACATGATCATCATTTAAAATGATTGAACCTTGAATATCTATTCATTTTTTCTGGTTTGAATCAACGATGTTAAATTGGTGTGGTTTTCCATAGCCTCAATTTTGAACTTTGATTACCATCAACCGTCACTTTACCTGATTTTTTCTTGGAAAATCAATGAGTGTAGAAATGGATTTTTCCTCAATCGAAGATCGGGTTTCCTGAAAAAGAAGAATGACTGGAGTCATTGATTAAAATAGCCTTTCCACATATACAAAAGAACCCTAAGCCAGGTTGTTATTTTAATCAATGACTCCAGTCATTCTCCTCAAGTAAAAGTTCTTCGCGTTTTGAAGCTCACGTGATGTTTCCTAGCCTCACTTTTGAATTGTGATGTCTATCGTCTGCCCATACATCTGACGGTTTTTTTCGAATTAAGCGTTCAGTTTTGTTTGTTTCGTTTCAGTCAATGCATTTTTTTGCATGAGATTCGAATCAGTAGAAAATTTATTTTTTCGTTATTTTGTGCAAAGTTCACTTTGATTTTGTACATGATCTGAATTTAAAATGTTTGATCATTGAACTTGTATACATTTTTTCCGGCTCGGATCAATGATATTATTTTCGCGTGATGTCCCATAGCCTCACTTTTGAACCGTGATGACTATCAACTGCCCATTTAACTGATGATTTTGTCAAAGAAATGTAGACCTCAGTTTTGTTTGTTTCGTTTCAATAAATGAATAATTTTTGAATGAAAGTCTAAGTAGTCGTTGAGACTTTTTACTGCGACCTGTATGAGGGCCTCTTTTATAATTAACTTTCTTTTTCTGTTTTGAATCAATGATGTTGAATGGACGTGATGTTCCATAGCCTCGTTTTTGAATCGTGATGACTATCGACTGCCCATTCAACTGATGATTTAATTAAAAATTTAAACTTCAATTTGGTTTGTTTCATTTCAATAAATGAATAAATTTTAAAGAGTCTAATTAGTCGTAGAGATTTTTCATTGCGATCTTGTGCAAAAGTAATTTGGTTTTGCTATATGGTTTTGTAAATTGTTTGATCATTGGGTATTCATACATGTTTTCCGGTTTGAATCAGCTATGTTGAGTGGGGGCGTGATGTTCCATAGCCTCCTTTTTGACAATCAACTGCCCATTTAAGTGATTTTTTGTTGGAAATCGAATGAGTGCAGAATGTGTTGATTTTTTTGTCCGAATGTTATTCTCTTGACTTGCTGTTCTTTCGTTTTTGTGGAAAGCGTCATAAGATTTCGTAGTGATCTTCATACGAATCGTCTGATTCCTGAATTTTCGATTTTTCTTTTCTCCTGCTGTTCTTCACGTTTTTAAGCTCACGTGATGTTTCGTAGCCTCACTTTTGAATTGTGATGTCTATCGTCTGCCCATACATCTGATGGTTTTTTGAATTAAGTGTTCAGTTTTGTTTATTTTGTTACAGTCAATGCAGTTTTATGCATGAGATTCGAATCACTAGAAAAATTTTTATC